ATTAATTTTTGCCATCTCTTCAATTTGTAGGTATCAAAGAAATCTAGTTTAGTTCACTCAGTGTTTTTATCGCCCAATTTATTAATTGATTCTGATACTTTAAATTTGATTTGCTACTTCAGATAAAACTATTTCCTATTATTAGTAGCTCATTGCAAGTATTTTTTTATTTGTAGTAATTCATAGTTATCGGCAATTAAGTAAATTATTCGCAAACATAATTCAATGCCCCTCGGATAAGCATTAAAGGTTAATAATCACCCATCCAATATTATATCGTCCAATGATTAATTCTCAATTAAAATATATTATTATAAAACCCGGGCAAGCACAAGTCGGACTCGTGCACGAAGGGTATGGTTTGAAATTTTCGAGTTAAATACATTTTGGTTGACTATTACTTGTAAATTTGTAAATATAAATATACTACGTTCGAGCTCGGTGGCGTAGTGGTTAATCGCCGCGGTCGTTATTGTTAAGCAACTTTCACAAGGGTCGGTCACGGGATGAGTGACCAAAAAAATTATTATCTCGAGATACTCCGTGCTTCGGAAAGCACGTTAAGCCGTTGGTCCCGGTTGCATTTGCAGTCGTTAATACCCTCCAATCCGCATCGGGCCAACATGAATATGAAAGCAACTTTGTTTGATAGAAATCTAAAAAACAATAAAGACAACAAATATTTAAAATAATCAAAATCTCATTTTAAAAGTACAACAGCGTCATTTAGCGAATACAGTCAATTGTAACATTAATTTTTTGCCTGATCAACAATTCCCCATTAAATTATGTTAATATTCCATAAATTTTCGTATTCTAAAGCTACTTTGTTTTATAAAAGTAGGAAAAAAACAAACATTACAAATACAAAAATAAAAATCCCGTTTTCAAAGTACAGTAGCGTCATCTCGTGATCAGTAGTGTCAGATAATTGTAACATATTATTAATAATTCTCAATTATGTTATTGGATCTTATAAAAATTAGAAACGAGTAGAGACATAACAAATTTACTATGCTTCCACTCCCATTTTTATCTCTTTGTGTACTTTTTTGGGATAGATAGACATATGCTGCTGCGCACTTTTTTAGAACTTTTAAAGGAGATCAATTTTGTAATCCATGATTTTTGCGTAACTTTTACCGTTTACGCATGCATGTTGACGTGCATGCACACGGAAAGATTTAAAAAGTAATATATTCACCCGTTTTTGCAACATTTTCCATCGCTGCTCCACTCCTATAAATCATAGCATGATGTTATATAGCCTATAGGTAGCTATTCAACATAAAAAAATATTCAATTTGTTCCAGTAGGTACTTCCCGAGATTATAGAGTTTAACCAAACAAACAAACTCTTCGGCTTTATCATTAGTACACTATAGATTAGCACATACTTAGATGCACCTCACTATAGTAAAGTCTCTAACGACAGTCATCAAAGTGACATTCCACTTTCTCTATTATTATGTTACGCAAACATCACAATGGTTGAGTTTAACTAGAGTATTTTTTTCCAAATAATTCAACTAAACAAATGAACGTTAGTAATATAAAAGTAAGTAATATAAAAGTATGGGTGGGGAATTTTCGACATAGGTATGTCATTTTCTCATTCAGACTATTGGCAGGCTATTTATTTATTTTCCTAGTTCTTTTCTAGATCTCGGTTGGAGCGTATAATTCTAACCAAAAAGATATGAAAAAAATAATAACGAGAGAAAAAGATATATTTCAAAATAAATACACCATAATAGAACAATAAAATGGGTATTAAACAAAAAAAGGGACAAAAGTCACAAAAAATAAAATTAAAATGCATAAAATCACTTTTTATCTGCTGAGATGGAGTCTATGTTGACCGAACTGTTTTATTTGTTGTTTTTTGTTGCATATACTTATATAACTATGGGGTCAATAAATTTCCTTCCTTTTTTCTTTCTTTATCCTTTCTTCAAGAAAAGACAGAAAGTTCTTTTCTTTATCTAAAGAGTTGTCATCAACTGTCTCTATATATCTCATTATACACGAGAACGAGAGGGATACCGACAAAGCAACTGTTTTGAATTAATTACTCGTAAACTATTAACTTTATTATAAAAGTGCAGCATAACACTCTCGACTACAAAGTATATAAATAATAAATGGTATAATTTGGTATGGCATAGTGGCAAAAATGCAGCGGTAACGGTAGTTTTTCAGAATATTCTTAATATAAATTATTAAAAACTCCACTTTGTCCCTAGTACTCTGAGATGGGATTCGAACCAACGACCCCTCGCAATCCAAGCTACTGTTCTAACCACTGAGCAATCTAGGACCTAACAGGACTGATGAATTCATCAAGCACTTGTTACTTTTTCACGTTTCAGCGTATTTTCATATATATTTTCATAGTTTTAAATGTAAATCCTCAGAAATATTATGAAGTTATCTCGTATTTAATTACACCTAATTTGGACTTTATTTATTTGTACAAACCAGTCGAACATTAGTGAGTTCACTATTTCTTCAAAATTATACCGAAAGATCAATTTTTTCAGCGAATGCTGAAACGATATTAATACATAGTTATTTTTTTTAATTAGGTATATTTGCACGATTGATTCACGATGCTATCTTGACTTCTGAATTTAATAAATGTAGTGCAGCTAAATCAAGCTTATTTATTACTGCTTAATTATTATCATATTTTAAAACACGGAACTCTTTTGACTAAAGTTCTTTTCTATGAGATTTATATCAATTATTCATTGCAAATTTTTCAAACATCATATAAACAACTTAAATAGAATAAAATATGGAGGACGGACGATCCTTCTGTGAGTAATTCCGATGGAAATACTCACCGAAGGATCGTCTTGTACAAGAAAAAAATAAAAACCTGGGGAGCGATTCAGTAGAAAATTCCGAACCAGAACACGAAATCACTCATGTGTCCGAATTCATGTCATTTAGTCAGTGGCGTAGCTACCAAGGAGCTAGGCGGGGCAGTGCCCTGGGGCCCTCAAGCTCAGGGGGCCCTCGAATCTTTACCAGAAAATCTCAATCGAACTCAACTTTTGAAAATTTCTCCCATTTTCAAAATAAATATGAACGCCAAGAAAGAGAAGAAAGTAAACAAAAATTGCCCAAAATTGACAAGTTTTTTAGTCAGCCTTCTGCAAGTACTTCTGAACAAAACATTTCTATTGATAATTTTTGTAAATAGCTTGCATGGCGATAGGTTAAATAACAGTAAGCTGGTGCAACGTATCTATGAATAAATAAATATATAATAAACCCTTGAATCTTTTCTATTTCTTTTTATTGCCCAATACCTACACCAAGTATAAAAATAATTTTCATTTATGTTGTTAGTGTTTAATAGTTTTATTACCTGCCCATGAACGAAAAAGAGCTGATGATAAAGTTGCTTAGCATTTTTAAAGTATTTGTATATTTAATGATTCATCTTCAAAAAACCTTACCAGTTTTGATAGCAGTGGGCCCCATTTTTTATTTGCCCCAGGTTACCTAGCTACTACTGCATTTAGTGTAGAAATTCCATTGGTTCCATTTTTTTTATAAAATTACAAAGCAAGATTGATTGATTCATACGCATCTCAAATATTGTATATCTATTTCATTTCGAAACTCACTTCCCTTATGTCACTGAACATTATAACCAATTCAAGGTTGAGCGGATGCCGCTTTTGAAGTGAATTCTGACACCTGAGTGAATTTGAATTCTGGTTCGGATTTTTACAGAATCGCAGGGCAGTACAAATAATATATTAGTGTTCGTAATAATAAATCATATCGCGCTTAAAAAACATTTTAGTGTTAAACTTAGTTAAATGTTAATGTAAAAACACAGAACATAAAAAGAATCAATTTGTATTATGGCTTTGCTATACCATATCCTCATTGCAGTCGGGGGGACCTTTTAGATTACAAATGTTCCACAGAACGACTTTCTTTCGATATAGGTATATTTATATCCATAAGGTCTTTTAAAAGTTATAATGGAATAAAGGAACTCACATAAACACATACATTAACCCTAAACCCAAACACTCCTTCTTTTAGACAGTCTTGTAAAAAGTAATCAAATCTCGAGTAAAGCCAAGCTTCTCATTGCACAAACATACGCTCTTCACAAAGGCTACACTGTTAAATTTTGTTTTATTGCTAAAAAAAATCAAGTAATTCAAAAACGGCGAAGCGCTTCGAGAAAATGTAGTAAATCACTACATAGAAACCACTACATACAAATAATTAATCATTGGTGTATAATAAGGTAAATACAAACTATAACAATGATCTGAGCTTTCTACAATAATTTAGGAAATGTTACACTCAGTTAACCCGTCCTCACTTAAAGTTAACCCGTAAACGAACTAAAAAAATTTGTTTATTCGTTAGTGTGTGTGTACTTCCATTGTCCACCCACATTATATACTCGTTGTTTGTTCTTTCATAAAGTTAAGGTATGAGTTACAGTTGATTTATTTACCTTTTTATAAAATACTTCTTTTTCTTCATATAAATTTTATTTCTTTTTACAGTTTTTTTTTTCTTTCAGACACAGGCGTAAATCAGTTAGTAATCTAGCACCAATTAAAATAATAAAAAATAATCAGCACTTTGCGACGAAATAATTAAACTATGAGTAATATGACAGAACTTGAAGCTAAAGAAACAGCACTTTGTGACGAAATAACTAAGCTAAAATGACAAAACTCGAAACTATTAAGAAATTAAAAAAAAACCTATTCGCTTTTGATTGGATAAAATCATTCTTGTAATAGTACAACGGACCAATGATATCGTAGTATAGAAAATCGAATCAAAAATGGCCGGCCAATAGAGAAAGGCGTCCAAAAAATAAATAGACGAAAAACTTGACTTATAAAAATAATTATTTACTGTTCTTGTGCATTATAAAGTTTTGATTTCTTACAGGATATTCATGTAAAAAAAAGAGAGGTTTTTTTATCTCAAAAAGTGTAGATGCGATGGATGATGTTGAAAAACTAAGTTGTAGTAAGTTTCAAACATAACCTTTTTAAAGAGTTTTGTATAAAATATTTATTTTTTTCCATTATGATTACAGAAGAAGAATTAGAAAATAGTGACATAGAAAATTCTGCTAATGATGATAATAAGGATCGTGATGAAAAACCAAAAAAGAAGAAAAGGAGACGACGTGAAATCGATATGGTATGTGGCTTACATAGATGTTCTCTTTGATAATGATGTTTCAATTCCAATACAATATCGTTGATAGAATGATATAGTAATATGAAAATATTAAGAAGGCAAAATCTTTCAACGTTTCACCCCATTTCCCTTATAGATAAAACTGTCCGATGATGATGAAACGGATGAGGAAGGAATACCAAAAAAGCTGTTACGCAGATTTAGTCCTGGTCCTAATTCACCAGCTTCTCATCGGGAGCCCCGAACATGTGTTCTTAAGGTTTGTTGTATTAAGTAACAAATCAAATTTGCCAAGCTGATTACCTATGAGTGCCAAGATGCAAATGCAAATCAATTTTATTTTAATAACTCAGCTTTGAGCTTATGTGTATTGTCTATTTCTTAAGATGTATTGTCTGTCAAAACTTGTTCTTTTTTATATATTAAGGCATATACAACAGACATCAATCATAAAAATTACATTACAAATGGATCTAAATAGATCTTAAACTTGACTGACATCCTTAAATGTGTTATGCACAGATTCAAAAAACAATTACAATGATTTTATAGGATTATTTGAAATGGAAAATTGTTTGTTAAATTGTATGTGGAAATAAACAGATGTGTAATGCAACTTTTGTTAATATTCTCTTTTCAGGCTAGTCAAAAGCACCGTCCACTAACTCGCCTTCTAGAACAGTTACTTCGCAACTTAGAGAAGCGAGATCCAAATCAGTTCTTTGCTTTGCCTGTAAATGATAATTTTGCACCAGGATACTCTACTATCATCAAACGTCCGATGGACTTTTCAACAATGAAACAGAAGATTGATGATAATGAATACAAATCTTTGAACTGTTTTATTGTGAGTATTTCTCTTTTCCCTATGTGCATAAGAATATTGTAATGACCACTATAGAACTGTATTCACATGTCTTTATATACAAATAGTTGTATCAAAACGTATTTCATTACAAAATATTTAAAATGTGAAAGATTTTGTAAACCTTCTTTCAGCAGTAGCTGCTCATCTAAGTTTAATGTTATTAAATACCCACATATTTTAATTTGAATACTATTTGTCCCATTAGGTCTGCAAAATATAGACCTGGTATAAAGATAAATGTAAATTTTGAAGGTCACACTTTATTGTATTTGTTTTAGTTAAAGTGCTAACAGGTGTTTTTAAGTTTTCTATAGTATTCAAGTTATAATGAAAAAATATGTTTTGCTCAATATACAAAATAAATTTTCTGTTTATCACAACCACTAATATGTGTTACAGAGTGACTTCAAGCTTATGTGTAACAATGCTATAAAATACAACAAACCTGGCACTGTCTACCACAAAGCAGCAAGACGTTTGCTGCATGCTGGACTGAAACAGCTGACGCCACAGAAACTAAGGCCACTTGGCAATATGCTTACGTATATGTATGAGATACCAATACGAGAGCTAGGCTTTGACATCGGAAAAATGGATGTTGTAAGTTTGTATTTATACATTATCATAGTAATATACAATACTTTGATGTTAAGAACAACCAAAAGGCAAATGCAGTATGAAATTCCTCTGATAATATAACCAGCTTGAAAACTCAATTGAAATTATTGATGAAATTTTTCTGTACAAGGGAAACCTTTTTCTTTGGGTTTTTAATGTTTTTTGTGATCTGACTGTATCATTAATTACAATTTAAGATGGGTATATACTTTAAATAGACAGCCTGAATGCTGACTTGACCTGACATACCTACATGTAATTTTTAAATAATATTGCAATCCTTAGCTATATTTTATATTTTATTCTACTTTTCGAAGGTAGATAGATAATTATTTAATAATTTCGTAAAATGCTTTTGTCTACCTTCTTATTTGTTATTATTTTTCTTGTCAAATTCTTGAGCCTATTAAAATTTCGTGCTTACTAAAGTTTTGAAAAATCACTTTTTACAACGCAGCCACTTAGGACATACGGGCGCAAGGTGATAATTTACAATTATTCATTTAAAAAGTTTGTTCCGTAGTGGATTGTTAGAAACTAGCCATTTTATTTTGCTTTAAAAATCGATGTTGTTTTGTGAAGTTTTGACAACTAGGGGGATCCGTGACGACTAGTGCCCTAGTGTTTGCATGTAAAGTGATTTGAATGCGTACGATAATTGAATCAACCTTACAATTTTTCATGTTTGGAACGAAGTCAACGGGTCAATTGAAACATTCAAATAATTTCAATTTTTCACATAAGTTTATAACTGCCAAATTCGATAATCGTACTGTACTGTAGAGATATAGTCGCTCTGGCTAACGTGCCAGATGAAATGAACCGTCGGCCTACAGCACAAGGTGTTAAAGCGCACGAGCCCAATGAAGAGCGGCGGCTCGGAGGCGGAAGCTGCGTCGGATGGAGGCCTGGAGCGACCGGACGGTGACAGCGTCAAGATACAAATGGAAGCGGCAAGGGAGCAGCATAGGAGGAGGCTAGCGAAGAAAGGTGAATTTAAGATACACTTATGAGACCCGAGTGACCTCGTAATTACAGACTGTGATTGTAATTAACCTGTTGAAATGATTATGCTATAGAGTGATGAATAAGTAACGAAGATTGTGCTATGTAATGCTTGATCAAGTGCTTCAATTTTGGATCTCGGGTAGCTCAACGGTTATAGCAGTCCCTTATTGCCAAAGTAGGTTCGAATCCTATCTCGAGGTATCTGAGTCTGGTGAATTTTTCACTTGGTACACTATTTTTATTTGTGTAATTTAACAGTGACATAATATATAATGTCTTTTATTAGCTTTCCCTCGTATGGACGCTGAGGGTAAAACAACACTGTGCCTGGTGACTAACACCGTGGATGCATCTGCTGAGGACAAGCCTATGACATTGGGCCAGTACATTGGCAAGCTTCAGCAGGGAACGGGAACATTGCACAGTGAGTATTCATAAAACATTTTATGATGCCTGCTAAGAGCTGATGTATGTCGTCATTCTAATGTTTTACAAACTATATCTACATATAATAATGACACACAATATCACCTACGATGCTCAGATTCCAAGATGAGGAGCTAAAAACCTGTGACAAGGAGTATCTGAAACAACGAAAGTACCATAACCAGACCTAAAATATAGAAAAGTTTATTTTCTACAATGACCTACTAACTGAGACTACAGAGGTCAATCTATATTATAAAATTATATGCTTCTTCATATGTGTCTACGATAAGCGGCTGATAACATAAGCTTTAAAAAAACTCTCAGCCTACTTCACCCGCGTGTAATGTAGCTTCCCTTCGGTTAAAGAATTTTTATGATCAGATCATATTTCCAAAGATTAACACTACAAAAAAAGTTACAATCTCTGAAGGTGCGTTTTAGGATTGTAAATAAAAAAAAATAAGTTTAAAGTGCAAAATTTGTCATACAAGTTGATTCTTTGTTAATTTATTGAATAAATAGCATATAATTCTAAAATTAGAAGGACAAAATATGCAAAAAACATTTAGATTACATTGATTATAGTATTATCTAGCCTTTTACAAACATTGTTCATAGTTAGAGTTATATGTTTTTACATGAAATGGCATTCCAATGTATTTTTGGTTCTATGAACACTTTACTACCATTACGGAATAAAAGGGCGATTGTAGTACATATTGTTTGACAGCGTCTCGTGAAGATCGACGTAATATGGCGAAAGGTGTGAAGCCGCTCAACTATGGACCATTTAGTTCGTACGCTCCCTCCTACGATGGAACTTTTGCCACTCTCACTAAAGAGGAGTCCCACCTCATCTACCATACTATGCGTAAGTTAATATTTATAAACATTTTCATATAAAGTAAGCACCCTTGCAAATCTAAGTTATAACTATCAGATTTCCATAAAAATAGTAATGTAAATCATATGACACTGGATCACCAATATTTTGGTATTTTAATGAAAATTTGAGACTTATTGTAACATCTTTTAAACTATATTATAGCTCCAGGAGACTGGTAGAGAATGCCTAATGGCATTAAGTCCTCCATTTATACAAACCTCTATGCCAGTAACTTATTGCAATATTTTGTTTAATTGTAAAATATCTTAAACACAAATGGTGTCATAATTGATTAAAGTAACCTAAGTTTTATTATTAATATCAATATCTTTATTTAATTTTGTATAGATGCAGAAACTGGTCAAGGTAACGAGGAGATGCTTCGGTTCGCGCCCGACTCCCCATGGAACTTGTTCTATGATATGGAAGCTTTATTCCCGGATAAGAAGAACCAACCGGATCCCGCGCAAACTAAGGATGACTTTGTATGGATATTTTGTTTTCTTTTTTAATTCTAAAATATTCGGCGCAAGGCCGTAATATGCGTTTTTATATTTTTCATACATCCAATTATTTTATAATAAAAATTCATAACCAAAAACTACACAAAAACAACAATATTTTCATTCTTTTGTCCGCATATTAGTTCTAATCCTGTAGATAGATGGCGCTGTAGCGTTTTAAATCGCGCTATGATTATATTTAAACAAATATAACTTATAGATTGGACACTGCGCTCCGATTAAGGGTTCCGTACTATTTTTAAAGACGGACGGACGGACAATTTAGATATTTTTGCTAGATCGCTGATCATCGAAAGATGTATCAAGCGGTTCATGTTATTCCTTAAAATTATTCTTTTTACAATAATTTAATTAATTAATATTCAATTAAATACTATAGGTGTAGAGTAGACACTAGTAGAGATGGGTCGTTGACAGATTTTCCGTCGACGAAACGAAGCCGTTCATGGACCTTGATCGACTAGTCGATCAACTAGTTGATTTTAACTATAGTTGACATATAGAACTACGTCAACGGGTACGAACTTTGGACGAAGTTTAACGGTTTTAATTGTTTTATTGAACCGTATATCAATATTGAAAAGTAAACATTGTTGATCATCTGTACCTGGTTATGATTTTTTATTGTCGAAAGATAGCGCTAGTATTCTAATTAGATATTGTTTTGGGTTTTGTATTTTAAACGAAACCGTATTATTAAGTCTTCGCTATCCGTCCGTCTGTCTGTCACTAGGCTGTATCTCATGAACCTTGATAGATAGATAGTTAAAATTTTCACATAAGATTCATTTCTTTTGCCAATAATGAACAAATACTAAAAACAGAATAAATATTTGCTTTTATTTAATAAAATAATGTTTTTGCTCGATATCGATACTTGCAGCGAGTAGACCCTTGAAATATTTACCGAAGATTTGTCTATATACGTATTCACTTTAAAAATAAACAGTTAAATTAAAATAAAATAAATACTCAAGTTGGCTCTCGTACAAATACAACAGATTTAATTTTTTTGCCGTTTTATAATGGTATGTACGGATCTCTTCGTGTGCGAGTCCAACTCGCACTTCACTTAGCCGTTTTTTAAACATACAGTTAAAATAAATATTATGTAAATTTTTCTGTAATAGGATAATTAATTTAATTAATAATTAATTAAAATAATAAATTAATGAATCACTATATAATTCGGATGCAAAAAAAGACTAAAAATTACTTATAGTAGAAAAAGTTAACTTATACTAAGTAGTAAAATTCTTAACACCGCCATGTCAAAAATCGTATAACACCATCTATCGGGGATTAACGTAAACAAACAAAGTCTAACATTTATTTAAACAAGGCCTATGTATTAGATACGCGTGTTCAAATATTTACTTACTTCCTTTGACTTTAGAGTTTAAATTATTTCAGCTGTCAAAGTTACATGAAAATTTAATAATGGAAACAACCGAATTCCATTGTATTATACAGATAAAGTTATGCGTTGCAGTTTCGTAACATGTTTATAGATGAACGGTGCGTTCTTCGTTTAGCCGTCGACTTTTTAACTGGTTGTATTATTGTATTATACGACAAAACTAAAGCGTTGTAGACTAGGTGTACGTTGATCAACGAACGTAACGCTCTTTATCTGATCATTGAAAATTCAACTAGTTGAATTATCAACTATAGTTAACGTATGCAACTACGTCGACAGGATAGACGTGGACGGATGGGAGTGTGCGTTTATTTATGAACTACAACCAACGTACAAATATTAACCGTATTGGATGGACTATATAGACTTTCGCAGTTGGCCGAACTACTTCACGTTAATGGATATAAAAAATAATATAATATTTATTTTGTGTAAGATCGTAGTTACCTAGGTGTAGGTATAATAGAAGAAATTTACGGTTTCATGTTTTTTAATAATCTAACTAGAAATCTTTAATAAATATTTTATTATATTTATCAATAAATATTATTTTTCGTTTATAGTGATATGTTTTACTATTTTAACATAATATTATAGATATACTGTACTTTAGGTTTTGTTTGTTTTGGTTCAAAATAAAATTATTAATCTTAATATTCAAAATTATTGATATAACAGTTGCCCAGAGTGAATTAAATTCTCTAAAATAAAAAAAAAATCTATAAACGTTCTTTCAGAGAAAGAAAGGTTAGATAGATTATTCAGACAAAAAAAAATCCCAAGGAAACCCTAATAAAACACACAATTAGACGAGTGTATGCAAAACTAAAAAAAAAACCTTATATTACAACAATAGTTGATCTATACTAACTAGTAAAATTCTTAACACCGCCGTGTAGATAAATACAAGAACTGTATAACACCATCTATTAGAAACAAATGTAAACAACAATCACATTTGACATTCATATATACAAGGCCTATGTATTAGACGCGCGTATTGAAATATTTACTTACTGCCATTGACTTTAGAGTTTAAATTATTTCAGCGATCAAAGTTACATCGAATCTTTATGAATGGAAAATGATGCGTTGCAGTTTCATAACATGTTGTTAGACGAACGGTGGGTTCTTCGTTAAGGCGTCGATTTTTCAACTAGTTAACCAAAGAACTGTCAACCGTCGACGCGTTGATTCTACGTTAACGGTTGATTTAACTAGTCCGTTGATTCAACGCCCATCGCTAGACACTAGACATCTTGACTTGAAACCAGCTATATATTCTACTACGGAAGTTAAAGTGCAATCAAATTAATTATTTAATTTAAAATTTAACAGAACAGTATAAAAAGTTCACTTTTGACACAATGTAATGTAAATACTAGATAGTGGGTCGCCCATCGCTAAGACACCGAATATTATTTAGTTTAACTTTTAGCCGAACCGGATATTCGGTGTACCATTTTTCTGATTTGCCACGTAAAAAGGTTTTTAAACAAATGTTAATTTGAAGTTTAATTGCTTTACATTCTTCATAGGATTTCTTTGCTATAATATAAGAAGTTTTGTCTTTTAGCCATATAATGTGTCATGTAGCCAAGAAAATAGAAATACTTGAACATGAATGCTAACTACTAAGTTTCCAACTTTCATTTGGTTATCTTTAGAAATACTGATCCGTTCATGAAAATTCTATTGCCTACGGGAACTACATCATATTCGGGTGTTTAAAACACCAAAATCGCTGTAAAAGTAATCGTTAATGGAGCAAAATCGCTGTAAAAGACCTAGTGCCAAATAAAATGAAAAAAGTACTTCCAGTTTGAAATAAATAAAGTGTTACTTTTCAGTTATATATATATATTTTTTTACTTAACAGGATATTTCAAAGGTCAAAGTCGATGTAGAGCAACTCCGGAGTCTTTCCGAATTGGGAATCGACATGGAATTTTTGAACGAAATGGAGGAAGACATTGTTTCATCGCAACACGACTACGGCATTGGGCCTGCACTGCGGCATACCTATGAACTATTGCAGAAATTGGAAAAGGAACAAAGAGACAGGTATAGTATATTATAACGGTGGGAAGGATATAGGAAACAGACTCTAAACCCTTTGTTAAGGTTAAGAGGGTTAACCAGGAGGCATAGAACGGCCTAACCGGTTAAAGGAGAAGCCAAAATCACTGCTCTTTTTTTAATACATAAAAAAATATATATTAAAGAGAAAACTGGTCGCGGGAGAAAGTTCTGGAGGCGTAATATAGAACGAAACAGAAAAAAGTGCTTGAAAGATTAGCCCCATAAGGTCCTGGGTAGGTCCCATTCCCATCTCAGAGTACCTAGGGGAAAGTGGATTTTTGAAGCATTTTTATTAAGGAAATAACATAATGGTGATGATGGGGATGACTACATTTTTTTTGTTTTGTTTGTAGATTTTTGCAAAATATTAAATACGTTACTTTTTATGATTGATGTAATTTAATCATTAAATTACATCAATACATCGAGTTAAAATGTCACATGACGTCACGCTTTTGTACATTTTCTACAAAACTGACGTGGCGTGCCCCCACTCAAATGCAAAAAAAAATACCAGCCCATTTAAAAAAAATACACGAAACTAATATTTATCTATTATCTGACTGACGGACTAACGGTCAGTTGCAGAAACGTCCGTTAAGCTTTAATGACTTAAAGGACGTTTGTGCAACAGGCTGTAAATGGGTGTTTTTTTTAACCCAGTACATCATACGTATGATGTTGTGTACACAGACTGTCGGCGCCGCCGCCGTGGCATTTGTCGCTGGCGGCGCGGCCGGGCGGCGCGGAGCGCGAGGTGGCGCGGCAAGTGGCGGCGTGCCTGCGCGGCATGGCGGCGCGCGTGCCGCCCGCCCCGCTGGCGCCCCTCGCGGCAATACGCCGCGCGCTGGGGGTCACGCTCGACCACCTCGGTCGGTCTCATCTCATACCTTCACTTACAGTATCGCGACTCAATTAACATTCTTTTTATTTTTTTATTGAGGAACAAACAAAAATGTGTTAATTATAAAAAAAAGATGTACTTAAAAACCTATAGTTCCATATTTCATTACTTAAACACACAGTTAAAAAAGTAAGCATTCCAACACAAAAAAAAATTAAAACCAATATTACTCACAAAATAAATAATTAAATGGGACTATAAAAAAATACACCCCTCTTCCTCTTGCACATTTCCACATTTGCACATTTCAGACTCAAACCCGTGACCTTTCGCGATTCATCTTTATCGAGAGCTTAAATATTTGTAAAAAATATTTCTTTCAGCTGTTTGTATTGATTACGTGAACATTGATGAAGATACGCTCTGTAGTAATTAAAAAAAAGTACTTGAAAAATTCAACAGTCCTGTTAGGTTAGCTCAGTGGTTAGAGCAGTCGCCCGGATTATGAAATGTCATGGGTTCAGGAACCTTTCATCACAGGACCCATCTCAGAGTGCCAGGGATAAAGTAGATTTTTTTCGTTATAATTTTCGTTTGTTTATTCGCCAGGTAGATTATTGAAGAATTATAAATGTTAAACACGTAATTTTTGCGTAATCAATAAGTAAATGTGTGGCGTTAGTGCATAAGCACCTCGGCCCGCGATCGTTGTTGTTAATATAATTGAATTTTCATTTAAGATGAAAATTGATCGAAAATCTTTCACTAACGCTGCTAGTCCTGAATAATCTGTCAATGTTACGCAAACTCGTGTCACAGGTTTATCGTCACTTTCAATAATTATCCTAGTTTTTATAAATCAATATATATTTTAACAGATACGCCGATGTCACTAGATGACTTCGAATTGGAGCAAGAGGCGCGTGATGTCATCTCCGATCCTGATTCCCGGTCCAGTCACGACAAATGAAGATGATATTAAAAATAAAATGCAAAATTGTATGAGCATTAATAAAACAAACCTTAGGGTATCCAACGAGCTACACCGACATTTTGTATATTACAATTAAATATATGAAATCTTAACAAAGTGACCTTGATTTATATTCTTAAAGCGCTAAGGATTCAAATGTTTCTCTTTTTTGTTTTAAAAACGTAATAACACCAAGGGTTCCATTCTATACATCCGAATACAAAATTTTCGGCGATAGCGAGTTTCTTATAACTGCGTTAGGGGAATGAATTCGTTACACATTTTTAACATATCAGACATTTAAAATATATAATATAAATAAAAATCGCAATTAATTCCATTAAACCTATTTTAGTTTATGGGATTCCCACGCTCCTAGTGCATTTTGTAGAAAGTGATTATTTTTTAAACCATGTTTGACGTTTTATTTATTTTCAAGATCGATACTCTTACAATATACTGTCTTCGGGGATTTATAATTAAAATTAATCTGCACTTGTGGTATAACGACGCCTGTTACAGTTTTCAAATTCCTAGAACCAATAATAGTTTTAGTTGTGCGTTAATCGTCAATAAACGGCATTATGTACTTTAATTATGTTAATTTATAACTAATATAAGTAACGTTGAAACAAGGAATTTTATTTATTTTCCTCCTAGACTTAACTTCAAACATAAATACACTATATTTATATTTGTTTTTTTTTTTATTATTTATTGATTGTAGCAAATGGCAAAACAATGTCAGTCCGTCAAAAACTATTGCAACCTGTAGCGACATCTAAAGGTGAAACCTAAACATCTTAAAATGGTCTAAAGTGGGTTGCTTGCTGTGCTTTTAAAATATAGTTTCGCTATTATAGGAAAGATAGCGTTGCCAGGGGAAATTCACTACTTTTCGTTCTCTTTAACTATCAATAGATGGCGCTTTAGTCCCAAGTTGTCCAAACATTTTTCATTGTTCATATTTAAACAACTAATAAATATACAGACAAACTTACAATTACTTAATCAAAAAAGATATTCGAGTTATTTTGTGGCTCCCGTGCCGGTTTTAAGGTGTCACTATCTCAAATCCCGGATTCCGAACCCGGGATTTGAGATGAAAATATTGTAGCGAAAAAGAAATTATTGAATGTAGAAAATAAAATTTTCTAATACACTATCAACGCAAATACCTATAGTGTCTCAAACGTGTTGTGCTACCTTCCTCGTTTCATATTTCGATAATACAACTAAATACTAGAAACTACTTTATTTTGGATTTAAGCAATGTACAGGGTGATCGGTGCTTCTTTCTTTCGCTTGAATGTTCTTGAGGGTCCTTAATGTTCTGCTGGGTCCCGGTTGAGGTGTATTTAAGGCCGATGATGTTTAGCAAAACCTTTGTACCCACGATCCAATCAAATTAACGCTCGATCCGTCAATAGCGTACGCACGCTGCTGCCTGACTACTGAGCATTGTTATTAATGAATCCATACTTTCGGAGCATCTAGTCACACCACCCACCATGCGCCGTCAATAACTTTTTAGATAAACCTTTTTTTTAACATAAATCAGCCACCGGACACTCTGTAAGTGATGTAACCATAACAGCAATTACCATTAAAAGGATTGCTAAGGTACTTAGCCGTTTAGCACTTGCAACAGTATTTTAGTTATTCTTTCAACCATGTGACTTTTAATGAGGAAGTATTTAAAAAAAACGAAAGCTCTAAAAATACCTCTACTAGATGGCGACTCTAGCAAAAGTTGATTTTTGCAGGAAACGAATGGACCAAAGATGGTCATTTCCGTTCCTTTTAACTAACATATTAAAAAAATGAAATTTGAAAAGTTCGAAACTTAGATATCAATACAAATACGAAAAAGTACAAATAGAATATGAGTTGTTTATTGAGTTTTGAAAACTAATTTACTTTTAAACAATAAAGAAAACCGGAAGAGTTGTCGTGGAGAAATCAATAACGTACAGTAGCGACATCTAGTTTGATTTCGGGAACTAATTTATTTTTTTAAATACTTCCTCTTTAAAATAAAAGTTACTTTACACAGTATAAATGTAAACACTACGGAATGATATCGATTTTTTTATTTTCACGTGACGTCACTATCGCACTCGCTAAGCGCGCGCCATTCTCCAGAGTACTTCAAACCTGTGTTCGGGTCAAAAACTAACATATCGAATCCACAAACAAGGAAAAAGCTTACTGTGTTGAGCCTAAGGTTCTTTACTCATGGCTCGATGAGATGCAATTCGATATCAAGTAAAATGTATGAAGTAGTTACTCATGAAATTACACACTAGAACCGATATCAGCCCTGCGAATATATAAAAATTCCAATCCAAATTCGAATTTAGTCAGGTTTTCGAATTCACTTCAAAAGCGACATCCCCTCAACTTTGGGTAATAACGTTTCGTGGCTTAAGTGAAGTGAGATTCGAAATGAAAGTGACAGATTATCTGAGACACATAATAAAACAATTTTGTTTAGTATTTTACACAAAATTAGACTCAATAAAATTTATACACTAAATGATGTGAATTTCGACACGTAAGAGAATTCGAATTCGGGTTCGGATTTTTACGGAATCGCTCCCCGTATTGTGCAATCTCACATGCATATATTGAATGTGAAAATATAAATATAAGAATCATGTTATATATACATATTATTCAATTTGACAAAAAATGAATGTATCCCTTCTATAGCAACAGGTAAAAACCTCGATAGTCTAGTAGGTAGTGGTTAACGCGTTTGATCTGCGACTGCGGAGATTAAGCGACGATTGCAAAGGCCGGTAATCGGATAATCGGATGGGTGGTAAATTATATTTGAAGTTGGCGAGGCGATATAGGTCGACCATGCGGGTCCAGTACGAATTACTAAGTAGATTGGTTTCACCCATTAAGTATACTTGTGCTTTAGCACCACCAATCTGCTTTGGGTCCTACACGCGGTCCCAGTACGGAATGCTGGGTGGATTAGTGTCATCCATTATGAATACCTAGGCTTTAGAATTACCACAAGGACGGCACACGACTTAAATTATTGTTATTGTCGTCAAAAAACTGGGTACAATGCATGACTGACTCAGTACTGCGAGTGCGTTTAATTAACGTGACGTCACACTCAGTGGCGAAGCGTTTCTTAGCGGGGCCCCGTATTAAATTTGTTTGAGGGCCCTTATTTAGAGTAAAGATTGTATAAACTGTACGAATTTTAATCATATATACATCAATTATTATGGGATTCCCCCGTTTAAGTCTAACTTAACTGGGGAGATATCCCGCAGCCCGCGAAATCGGTTGTAGGGTGTTGCCAACTTTGAAACGCACACTCTACGTGAAAAAAGAAATTGCTTTTTTTACTTTTGTCATTTCTGAAATAAAAAGAAAAGTTGGGAAGTTTTTATTGATTTTTTCTTACGCACGTTGGGGGCCCCAGTGGCCCGGGGGCCCAGTATAATTGATACGGCATATACGGCGGTTGCTACGCCTCTGGTCATACTTTCATAGCGCGCCAAAGCGTTTTTTTTTTTTAAAGACATATTTCAAATCAATCATAACTTCAAAACTACTCGCTCTATTTTTATATGATAAAAACGAATGTATACATATATTAATGTAAAGACTACACGAACACGATATCAAGCGATTTAAAAGACCCATTGATATTCCTCATTGAAAAAATCAAAGGTGACCATAATATCGTATAAAAGACTACTGAAAACTTCTTGAAAAAAAAAAACTATTTTCTCGTGCACTTATCTAACCAGTCCCTTTAATCAATAACCAAGTAGCTGACAACAAAAGCCGCAATAATACTCATCGAACCATCAATAACCCCAATGATCAATAAAATAAGTACCTATCGATAAAAAAAAATGCAAATAACCCGTCACTGTTGTTGGGGTCCCGCGTTGGCGCGTGGGACTTCATGCGCGGACGCAATCACACGCGACCCGCACGCGCCACGCACGAAGGGTGATTTGTAGGGCAAATAACGCGTTACTCTTAATACCCTTGAAGATACTTAGTTGCAAAAAATGTTGATAATCTTGATTGAAAAAGTTTCGTCGATTATGGAGTGAACATGACGTTTCCATATTTTAATATGACACGGGGTTCATGAATTTTAACATGAATTTCAGCATTTCCGGAATAAAAGTAAGATTTTTTACTTATCTGCTACTTCTAAAATGAAAGAAGTGAGCAATTCCACTGATGATTCTTAATGTATCTTCCAAGAATCATCTGACGAAGATTCGTCAAAAGCGAAGTTTCTTCCACTGATGGTAATGAATATATTTTTATTTCTTCGTAAATCTGAAAATTTTATAAGTACAAAGTACAAACATGGTCTGCACAAATAGCAAAATAATAATCCTTGATTCTTTTTTTAATCGTCTCTCCGTTAAGTGGAAGTTGGAAATTCGACTTCGAAAATTCGTACCTACCGGTTTTTGCTTTCCTAAATAACTGCTCGACATTTACAATTTGGCTGGTTGAGAAAGAGTAGTCGTGCGGTTAGCGATTGGTCATAAATTGAAGTTCCAAGACAATTGATTTTTTAAGTATCTACCTAAGTAGGTAGAATAACAACATATTTTATAAATAATCTATTAAAACAACAATAATAACTCATATTTATAAAAAAGAAACTGTTTTCCGCATTTACTTTAAAAACAACCATTTTTTGATACATTTTCAAACCAATTCAAAAATAAAATGTCATCGTCATAAACTTAATTTCCCTTCACTTTACATTAAGCTTTTCCATTACATGACTTTAATCAACCTGTTCAAAAGTGAGTACATCAAATAATAACACAAAAGCATTGTCCCCACGACACCCCCATACACCCCGCATTCACACGGGAACGCTACGCCCATACCAACAGGAAAAAACCCATGAGTTTGCTTAAAATCGACCTTACGCCCTTAACAATAAAGCCTTGAGAGGTACATTTATATATTTGCTTTTTTTACCG